CAAGAGGCCGAGCATCTGGCCAAGCCACCCATGTGCAGATTCTGATGACGGTACTAATCACCGAGAGAAGGCCCAGCCGCCAGGACGGGCTAAGGTTTGTTGATGATGTTGATGATGATGCAGCAGTCTCGGTGGCCGAGGAGGGTTGCCAGTGAGAGGGTTCGCGACATGCTCTGCTCTGGGGGCGTGGTGCGACTGTGATGTGGGCAGTTCGCAGCGCGGAGGGTTAGCCTCTGGTCCGATCAGCGAGGGTCGGGCGCTCGAAACGGCTATCCAGGCCTGAGTCGTGATTAGAGTTGGTGCTGGCGGCTGGAAAAGGCAAGCTCCACTCCAGGGCTGTCGTCAGGGAGCTGGACCCTGTGCGATGGGTGACCCCAACCAAACAGTCGCGAGTCCGTGTGAATTGCGCGTCCCCAAGAAGCGGAACCTCGCTGCGTTGTGCCAACTGCTGTCACTCACTACTTCCCGCCGCTTCCTATTCCGATATACAAACACTCACTCACGCTGTGGTTGTAGTCAACGCTATAAAACGCCTCCACTGCAGCCCTGCGCCCGATCATCGCTTGATGGCGCCCGCGGACCTGAGTTAACTAGGCCCCTTTCGACCCCCAAGACTCTCCGATGCTTAAACCCTCCCGCCGGCCCATACACGAGTATGAGCTGGTTCCGCGCGAATCCCTCGATGTTGATGGCGAGGAAGCTGTTGTCGGTCAAGATGTAGAGGCTTCAAATCCACGGCGCTCCTGGCTCAACCGGCTGAGCAGTCGCTTTAATGCAGTCAACAAGCTCTCGGATCGCGCCGTATACGCCCACTACGTCACCCCGCGCCGCCGAAAGCGCTCCATTCTACGCATCCTGTACTGGACGTTATTCTCCGTACCGTACCTCTTGATCGTCCTAGTGCTAGTTGCCGGCATCTTCTTCCCGAGTTACACAGTCAGGCCTCCGCACTACGACGAGCTACGCAAGCGAGCCACCGACACTGGGCGCGCGAACCCCTACAACGAGAAGGTCTTCATCGCCGCCTCGCTCGCCGAAAAGAAGGGCGATTTAACGTCTGGCGCGTGGGGTAGAGAGGTGCTGCAGCTGGTGGAATTACTGGGACCCGAGAATGTCCATCTGAGCATATATGAGGACAATCCAGATTTGGTGACGAAGCAGTCGTTGGATTCGTTCCGCGACCAGGTCAAATGTGAGACGCTTCGCCTCGTGCCGCCGTGCAAAGATCGCTAACAACCCCCAGGCAACTCGACTATTGTATCCGAAGATCTCGACCTCGCTTCCCTCCCCCACATTACGCTACCCAACGGCGAGAAACGCCTCAAGCGTATTGCCTTCCTTGCTGAGGTGCGCAACCGAGCCCTTGCGCCCATCGACCAGCCTGGGGTCAGATTCGACAAGGTCCTGTACCTGAACGATGTCAACTTTGACCCCGTTGAAGCTGCGCAGCTTCTTTTTGCGACCAACATCGACTCGACCGGACGGGCAGACTACGCTGCAGCATGCGCTGTCGACCACATCATGCCCTTCAAGTTCTACGACCGCTTCGCGACGCGCGATTTCGACGGCATGATCACCGGGCTGCCCTTCTTCCCGTGGTTCACCAGCGCAGGAACAGGGACTAGCAGAAGTGATGTGCTCGCAGGGAAAGATGCGGTACGGGTACGGAGTTGCTGGGGTGGCATGGTGGCCTTTGATGCCAAATGGTTCCAGTCAGAGACCGGAGTCCAGCCCGAACCCGCCAACCCGCAGAATGGGACGCCTAACCACAGCATCTTCCCGCTCCGCTTCCGCCACGACAACGAAACTTTCTGGGAGGCTTCCGAGTGCTGTTTGATCCACGCGGATCTGCAGTATCGCATGTCTGGAAGAGGCCGACCTGCGGAATCTAGGATATACATGAACCCATTCGTTCGAGTAGCGTACGACGAGAAGACGCTGAGCTGGCTCTCTTTCATTCGTCGCCCGGAACGCCTCTACGCTCCGATTCACGACATCCTCAACTACTTCGTCGGCTTCCCTGATAAGAAAGCCCGCTTCGCTGAGGAGCCCGGGCAGCTCGTGACGGACAAAGTCTGGATCTACGACCACCCAGCTGCGGCTTTTGCACAAAATGCGACAGAGGCCGATCGTGCAGGCCACTACATTGAGCAGGAGCGGAGAGCAGAGCCTGGTGGTTATTGCTCATCGCCTAATCTCCTTGTTATCAACGAGAAGCCCGAACACGGCCCTGGTTCGTGGAGCAAGATCCAAATTCCGAGGCCTCCCCAGTCTTGATCGCTCGAGACACGACCATCGACGACGACTTCTTTCTCACGGCCTTCATTTAGTACTTCAAAATTTTCCTTTGTTATGCATAGCGGGATGGATGGGAAACACGGCGTTGGCAGCTCACCGAGCTTTCTAGAATTTTACCTTTACGGTCACCAACATGCTTCGGATAGGGAGCAACGTCCTTGACCGCACAGCGCGGGCTGGTCAAGGATGCTTAGGAGTACTTTGGGTCTAACACTTTAATTCGTGTTCATCGACAAGGTGGAGGCTTGTTCTCTTCTCTCATCTAGTCGTAATTTCAAAGTCACAGTCACAGTAGCCTCATGATTGTCAGCCACACAAAGTCAGATGTCATACTTCACGTGTCTGATCTCATACACCGCCTCCTTGTTGGGCACTAGTGTGTCTGCCTCTCATGCACTCTTCCTCCTATATCCAGGGCCCTCTTCTGGTCCTTCGGAAGTCCTTCTGAGACCCTCGAATAGTAACCTCGAGTACTGGCACTCCCTCTGTACGTCCGTTTGTAGCTGTCATCCAACGTGAGGCGAAACGCGACACCCCGGCCTCGTTCGCTCCAGCCAATGACGACGCGCGAGTATCACACGATCGCCAAGCCGCTAAACCCGATTTTTCCTTGACTGTCTTCGACGCGCTAGGAGGCCAACACGGTGCGAAGAAGACGCCTCATCTGACCAGGACCCTCTTGTACATACAAACTTCATCATCTCTTATCCGCCTGCCGCCCGCTCTCTAGAACAATCTGATCGCCTTTGCATTTCCGCGTACTATCCCCTACCCGTGAAAGCGACAAGGAGCTTGGCATAACGACGTCATTTCCCAAAGTGTGTACCTGCAGGCAGGCACCATGGTTCTCGATAACGATACGCGTGGGTGGATCATGACTGCGGTCAGCGGCATAGGTATGTGATTGACGATTGCGCGGGAAGCTGCATGGATTTCACGGGGAGCACATGAGCTAACGCGTAAACAGCATGTACATTTGGAGGTGAGATTTATTCCCGCGGTTGATCCCATCGACCGGGATTCCGCGTACTTCATCCAGGGGAGATGCTAAAGATGGCTAGCTTCGATAATATGCGTCGACCTCATTGTGCGATATTTTCCTGGCAAGAGGAACTTTAAGATTGAAGAGAGTAATGCGTTCTTGTCGACGGGGTTGAGTCTTTCTTTTGGTGTTATGGTGAGTGGAGCTGCTGAGCTTCGTTTGACTCTTGCTGACCTAGATTTAAGATCTTCTCATCACTATACAGCATGCTTCCTTCCGCGAAGAACTATCTGAAAAAGGGAGGCATGTCACCGCGAAATGCGATACTAACTTTGATCGGGTGCTTCCTTGTTGGTGCTCTTGGCATCTCAGTCCTTTCTGGAATACTGCACCAGTACATTCCACACTCAGTTGTCGACTGCGAAAGCAAACACGATGATGAAGAACAGGGGAAGTTTCAAGAAGAGGAATCGCACTCTCACCAACCGATGCAAGAGCAGCCGCTCAGTCTTCCGCACGCCCACGGACATGACGAGCATACTTCGTACGGAACAAGTAGCGTGAACTCGAAAGCCGCCCTACCTCAGAGGCCATCGCTTCACAAGACGCTGTCATCCAAAGTCTCGCAACTAATTGTCGGTGCCGAGAAAGCATGTGACGACACTGACAACGGGCAATGTTATGGTGATCTGTGTGAAGTCCGGCCTTCACGCTTGCAGTCACGGAAGTCTCTAGGCAGTTTGAGTGTTACACGACCATCTGGGATGAGCAGAAGCCAAACTTCGCAGGGACCGCATGATCGGCGAACAGCGTTGGAGGATGTGAACGAAACAACACCTCTAGTACCTACAAAGTCCGGACCAGCCACCATGGAAAGCTCTTTTGCAAGTTTACCGTCTACCAACGGCCACGCAGCACACGAGATCCAACCTCTCCAAAAGCACAGCCGCTCATCCTCGACTACCTCATCGCACACTGACCACCACCACCATCATGGCCACAGCCACGACGAACACGACCAGGAGGCCCAACAACACCACCACCACGTCCCAACAAACGCCTTCCTCTCCCTCGGCCTTCAAACAAGCACAGCAATCGCCCTGCACAAAATCCCCGAAGGCTTCATTACCTACGCCACCAACCACGCCAACCCCACCCTCGGCTTCTCCATCTTCCTCGCCCTCTTCATCCACAACATCACCGAAGGCTTTGCTCTCGCCCTCCCCCTATACCTCGCCATTGGCTCCCGCTGGAAAGCCATGCTCATCTCTGCGGTCCTGGGTGGTGTCAGTCAGCCCCTCGGTGCTGGTGTCGCAGCGCTGTGGTTCAAGATCCAAGGCAGGGGCCGAGAGCACGGCGCTGATGAGGGCATGGACACGATTTACGGTTGCATGTTTGCCGTCACTGCGGGTATTATGGCGATGGTGAGCTTGCAGCTGCTCGGGGAGAGTCTGGATTTGACGAATTCGAGGCGCTTGTGCTTTGTTAGTGCGTTTGCGGGAATGGGAATACTGGGGTTGAGTAGTGCGCTTACGGCGTGAGCATATCTTATCATGTACAGGGGAAATATGGCGGTGGTGATGCTGGATAGATTTAAAGCATATTGCGCATATTGCATTGAGATGGTTTGGAATACATATACACAACTTTCTATACTACATCATCTACTCATACACTCCCCTCTCCATCCCTCGGTTCCTCCATTCCTCCCTCTAGATCTCTAAAACTCCCTCAAAGCATCCAGAACGTCCCTCTGCCTCTGGCTTCCCATCTTCTCAAACCCATCTACACTCATCACAAACGTGCCCCTGCCCCCCGTCAGCGCCCTCAACTGATTCAAATACCCCACCATCTCCTTCAGCGGCACCCTAGCTACAATTTGTCTTTGGCTATCGCTCAAGCCGCTGCCCACATCACCTGTCCCCGACGCAAAGGGGTCAGGGGGCGTGTAGATGAGGTGGGGGTCGATGCGGGGGAGGGCGTCGTCGGAGTCGGAGTCGGAGGAAGTGGAGGAAGACTCCGAGCCGTCGAGTGACAGGATTTGACCGCCTCGCGAGGAGGTAATATCTTGGACTACGGCGCCCATACTCCCCTCATTGACGAAGATTGTTACGTTCATGACTGGTTCCATGAGTGTGGCTGGCGCGGCATCACTTGCCGTACGCAGGCTATGCGATACAGCAGCGCGCGCCGCCATCGATATCGCCGTCGGCGTTGTTTCAGGGAAGAGATGCGCACCCGCATCCAGCGTGAGCGTAACGCGTGTGTTTGCAACGGGAAACCCGTTGAAGGGGCCCCGGGCGAGGGCCGCGGATGTACCGGCTTGAAGGGCGTGCAGGATACCGGGGAGGGAGAGGTGTGGGGGGATGTGCTGTTTATGAGCCGAAGAGTCGAGGGAAGAGAGCGGGGGGTGGTGGATGTGGAGGTGGTTGTTGTCGGGGAGGGGGTATATGGTTTCGAATTGGTTTTCGCGTGCGTGTTGTTCGTTGACTTCGTGCTGGACTGGCGTAAGCGGGATGGAGTTGCTGTCTTCTACGCTTTCCACAGAAGCGGTTATGGCTGCTTTCGTTTGTTTTCCCGCAACGAGTTTATCCAGTGTATATGTGTATGGTTCCGTTGGCGTCATCGTGGTGATAGTCTCCCTGTATCCGATTTCTATCTTTCCGATGCGTGCTTTGGCTTTGAAATCGTTGAGTAACCTGTCTCGCGCGATTTCTAAATGTAAATCGCCCATGCCGGCCAAATGAGTCTGCCCGGATTCTTCGTCGATGGAAAGGTGCAGACTGGGATCTTCGCGGAGGAGAATGGCCAGACTTTCTTGGACGTGTTTCTGTTCGCTGAGACTATTCGGTTCGATGCTGGTGAAGAAGACGGGGGGAGGGACGGCGATGGGGCGCAGTTGGAGGGTGTGAAGACCGCCGGGCGGTGTGCCTTTCATTTGGAGGCCGCGGTAGACGATCAACGTGTCTCCGGTTCTTGCGTGCTTAAGACCGGTTATCACGCCGATTTGGCCGGCGGAGATGCTGTCGACTTCTACGGCGTCGTTGGCGTACATTTTGAGCAGGCGGGGTGCGCGCTCCGCGAGGGAGAGGTTGGTGTTGTAGAGGGTGGCGCCGCGGTCGATGGAGCCGGAGTAGACGCGGACGTAGACGAGGACGCCGCGTTTGGCGTCGTTGACTACTTTGAAGGCGAGGGCGCAGGCGCTGAGATTTTTGACTTCTGCGATGGCTAGTTCGCTGTTGTTTTGCTGCTGTTTCTTGGATGGCTTGGTGGCCTTCGTCGGTGCTGCCGCTGCTGCACTTAGAAGGGTTGATAGTGTGCTGCTCTGGTTGGAGATGCTGATCTCAGGATCTGGTCGTTCGAGTGGTGAGGGGAGGAGATCAACGACCGAGTCAAGGAGGGGCTGAACACCGATGTTGCGGAAAGAGGCGCCGGCGAAGACTGGGATGACTTTCTGCGGTGCCTGCAGTGCTACTCGGCGTAATGATTGCATGATCTGGAGTCCAGAGATAGCAAGGTGGTCTTCGTCGTGTTCCAAGAAGTGCTCAACCATGACGTCGTCATGCTCACTCAAGATCTCAACGAGGGCTATTCTGGCCTTTTTGATCTCTTCTGCAAACTTCTCGTCGGTTTTACCCAGATCTTGCAGCCCAAAAGCTTGAATATCTCTGCCATCGCCACCGGCTTGCCAGAGCATACCGCGTAAGTTGATAGCATCACCAACTCCAACGAAATCGCCGTTGCCATTCTTCCACCACGGAATTTGACAGACGGCTGGCCATCCGTGCAATCTAACGCCTATCTCTTTGACGGTTCGTGAGAACGCAGCGCCCACACGGTCCAGCTTGTTGACAAAAATGATCCTAGGGATATGGTAATGTCCAGCTTGCGTCCATACTTTCTCCGTCTGGGCTTCAACACCGGCAACTCCATCGAGAATACATACTGCCCCATCTAGTACACGAAGCGAGCGCAGCACTTCGAAAGTAAAGTCTGCGTGACCGGGCGTGTCGATGAGATTGATGTTGTGGGATGTTGAAGATCTTAGAACATTGTCGAATGAGGCTGGTAGCTGTGGTGGTGGGGGCGGAGTCTGGGTAGTTGGTGGTAGGGGAGGCCAGTGGAATGTGATGGCTGCAGACTGGATGGTGATGCCGCGTGCCCGTTCAGCAGGGAGAAAGTCGGTTACTGTCGATCCTTCGTCGACATCTGTGGGATGTTAGCAACACTTCATACGCCATGCCTCTTCTTGTGTATGATCAAATTGAAATGATAAAGGCAAGGCTTGAACAAGTGAGTGGTCGACGCAGGTGAAGCACTTGGTCAGCATTCCAAAACCTTTAGAAAGGGAATCGAAATAGAGACAGATAAGGGATAGTGCATGTCTCTCAACTAAAAGCAATTGAAGATGAAAACAAAGCATGACATTTAAAGTGTCGTAACGGGTACGTACTTCCTATTCGCCTTGTCACCCCGCTGTAGTAGAGCATGCGCTCAGTCGTCGTTGTCTTCCCCTACTTAACTATTAGATCGAGTTCGACTAACAACAAAAGACACGTACCGCATCGATATGAGCGATGATGCCAATGTTGCGGGTGGCCTTGGAAAGCAGATCATGGTGTGGTTGCGTCGACAGCAAGCGGCGTGGAGTCTTCACATGGTGCCGCAAGACTCGACGGGTAGACGTAACCCATCCGACCCTCATGCCCAGTACTGCTCAGTGCGATAGATGGGCGAACTGACAGCGTCTGGCTGTTTGGCAGTCGCACGTGATGTGAAGGATGTCGACGTTCGCGCCTTGCCTAGCTCGGCTAATTCCAGGGCAGGTCAGGGCATTCGAGCGACATGATCGCATCACTCGACAGCTCGGTGCAGCTGTCCAGAGCTCCAATTCCCCACCACACACCATGGACTACAGCGCCCACGACCCGGACCATCCCGGCGGCCGCGACCCATGGGCATCGTCGCCCCAGGCCAACCGAACGTCGTTTGGGCAGCCGCCGACCAACGACATCCCCTCATCCCCGCTGCCTCCGCAGGCTTCCCCGTACCACGAAGGTGGTGAGCAGTACGGCTACATGGGCGACCAAGATGCGCAAAGCCGGCCCGGCACGGCGCCAGAGAACGGCGACCATCTGCAGCAACCACAGATGCCGGGCCAAGATGCGCCGCGGTCACCCAATGCGCAGCAGGGCCAGCAGCAGCCGCAGCGATATCACGGGAACAGGCCGCAGCGACAACAGCAACACTACAAGCTCCAGGCCAAGGTCACGGGACTCGAGCGGAATAGCAAGAAGGACCCGATACTGCGATTCGATGTCTACGTACGTCTCCACAACATCGACACGACCGGGCTAGAGGCGCGCGACATAGCGGACATTGAGGCGTGGTGCAAGGTAGACATGTGCTTCTCCGGCATCTCAGTCGGACTGCATAGCTGCACTACTCCTGCTCATACCGCGCACGCTTGGCCCCCATTTCCAGCCCCTACTGACGTGTCTCCAGACGAACCTTCCCAAGTTCCGAACCACCCAATTCCGCGATGTCCGACGCCTGCACTCCGAGTTTGTCAAGCTCGGCGAGCATCTCATCTCAGCATGCCCCGAGGCTATTGTGCCTGCAGTACCGCCAGCGACTACTTCGGCAGGCGCAGGCACCGACGAAGACGAGGCACGCCTGAAGACTTCGCTGCAACGGTGGCTGAACATTGTATGCAGCAATGACATTCTGATACGCGACGAAGAGATGGTCTTCTTCGTGGAGAGCGACTTTGGATACAGCCCTGTGGTGCGGAGGAAGCAACCTGCGACTGGTGTGCGCCGCAAGATGATCAAGCAGTTTGCGCCGCCGCCAGACGACACACCGGAACTTGCTGCGGCACGGCCAGTCGTCAAGGCCTTCTACCTGGGCACAATGGAGGCGGAGCAGAAGCTAGAGAAGGTCGTGAAGCACAGGAGAAGTAGGCGCTTCCTAGGCACACCTTTCAGTCCATGGCTAACATAATCTAGATCTGGGTGTCGCAGAATCTGACCTCGGTGCCAAGTTCGCAGCGCTGCATGTCCAAGAAACACACGTCGGTCTTTCACACGCATACAAGAAGCTCGGGAAGGTCATCCAGGCCACGGGCGACTTCCACGCAGCACAGGGAACCGCCGAAGCTACGACTCTCGGCGACCCTCTCCAATACCACAGCAGCGACGCTTTTATTGCGAAAGAAACCCTCACAAACCGACACATCCTCCTTCGCGAGCTCCTGCAAGCACAATCCGCGACAAAGTCCAAGCTGTCCGCGGCCGATAGGCTCAAGGCCAGCTCGAGCGTCAAGCGGGACAAGGTCGACGAAGCTATCGCAGCCCTAGACGAAGCGAGAAGCCACGAACAATACCTCACGACCAAAGCCCAGCGCGTCACAGCCAACCTCCTACAGGAGCAACGCAAATGGTTCAACAGGACCACACAAGATATGAGGCAAGCGATCCGCGAATACGTCGTGCGAGAAATCGAAGCAGAGCGCCGTACACTTGCGACACTAGAATCGGTACGACCAGACATCCGCGCTATCGACGGTAGTGGTGGCCTTTCCCGGCTGGGTCGTGAAGCACATCCCACTCAGCGCCGTACTCCCATGGCCAGTTCACAAGGTCCCAAGGGTGATGCATGGTCCGGTGTACCCCGGCGCCCAGGGGACGGCCTCAATCGTAGCATGAGCGGCAGTATCGTGGCGCCTTTACCCGAGGCCGATGAGAATGAGGAAGAGTCTGTGAATGGGAGGAAACGTGCGACTAGCAAGGCAGGTAGCCAGAAGGGGATTGAAGAGGATGATGATCGCATTGATGCGAAGAATGCGGCAAGCAGACTGGCTACGACGACGTTCTAGGGACATGCTCGTTTGTGGTAGTCGAAGGGTACTGTGCAAGCATCACTCGACCCTTGTATGGCAGTCTACACGTGCCTACCTCTAATCACTTGTCAGTTTCGCATGGTATCCACTATCGCGTCTGCGACTCGACAGCAGAGGTCGCATTCTCCGCAGAAGATGCTTTAAGCTGGCGTCGAATTAGCGGTAGTAAACGATCATTCTTTCATCTCCATGAACGCGATCAACTTTTCTACGTGTCAGGCTCTCGCATGCCCAACCTGTCCAGTGACTAGACATCTTCCTCCGCATCCGCTAGATACGCATCAGGTTGGCACTACATTCACTCTTGATTAATTCCCAGCAAGCAGTACCGGGACCTGCCTCGGCTTCTGACATCCACCTACGGCAGTGAGGGATCCCCAGTCCAGATTGGCGGAAGTGGCAACTACGCACACACTACCCAGTGGCATCAGTTGACCTGGAGGTAATTTATACAGCGTGGCGTCGTATATTGCAAAGTATGGGGCTGCATATTGCGTCTTCAGCATCTGGACGCACGGCGGCAGGTTGAAGCGCTGACGCTATTCTAGGCTTGACTAGCCGCGCCGCCTGAACACTCTTCGAGAACTGTGCCACGGCGCCAGCCGTTGTGATCGGTCCTTCGTCGTGACAGTGACAGCTGCTCCTGCGTTGCGTGCTGCGGGCCTGGCCGAGCAGTCAGCCTCGATCGAAGAGCGATTCGTCGTAGCGCTTTGATATTCCACGTGTTGTGACTGCAGCAACCATGTTTAACTCGTATCAGACCACCAAAGCTGTAGGAGTCGGTACCCCGCATAACACGGCAAACTTATGTCTGGAAGCGAGACAAGGGTTCGGGTTCCCCAAACATTACCCAGTCCGGTATACACGAAGGACGCCATGGTTGCTTAAGTTTAGGAGGGCAAGTCTTCTTATCGTTTCATGACGATGTATATTCGCTGTGCCACCAGGGCGCAGAGATCTCGAGCAACGGCTAAGTTTCACTGGGACAGACCTTGGTGAAGATCACGAAGGGAAATCCTTCATGATGAACAATGAACCTCGGTGGTATTGATGAAGCGACTGGAATTAATCCGCAGGGTCATGTGAAGTAGTTGTAGTAAAGATCAGCCAGCTCATCCGACACCAGGCAGCAGGTACACTCTTGAGGTAAAAACACCGAATAGACCACGACTCCGCAGAACCCAAGAGTGCCAATATCCAGCCGGCGGGATGGGAGCAGGGTGAGCAGCCACCATCTGACCGTAAGCGAGACGTCAACCGCTAACAGGTCCGTGCGGCCCTGCGTTCCGGGTAAAGTGTTGTGCAACTTCAACCTGATCACGCATCATGTGGTTCTTACGGGGCTTTTGCATCTGCGAATAGGAAGAACATAAAGTACGAATTACCGGAAATACTTGTCCTCGATTGGCTTCCCTGGAACCACCAACCCTATTACTCCACACAGTCTATGGACGCCATGAACCGGGATGTCAGAAGGCGAACGTCCAGTTCGGTCAGGCCTCGAAGGAGTGATCATACCCGCAGCCACTGGCGATGTCTAGAGCCTCGGACGCAGCCATGGCAAGCACTCATAATCTAGCGGAGCCCACGTCCCCTGCAGACGCTTTTGGCTGTCCCATCTCCCTACATTGACGATCTGCTTGTTCAGTCTTGCGATCGCACGTATTCTCACTCCAAACAACGTTCACGCTCCGCTTTCATCACCCCGGATCGACACACATCCCGGCATCTCCGTCCCCACGCGCCCGCACCCCACATTGGACACAGCCGACGGTCGCAAACCCAACACAGCCATGCCGAAGGTATTCAGATATCTGAAAACGGCGCTTGCGCCAAACATCGGAAACGCACAACCACGGGAGTCTGTCGACAACAGTAATGCGTCGCGCAAAGCATCCTTCACATCTTCGGCCGACGATGCATGGCTGCCAGACTTTGATCCGCTTACGATTTCGGCCTTTGAGCTTTCCGAACTCATGAATGCACAAGCCCTCACGAGTGTGCAGATTGTGCGGTTGTATTTGAAGGAAATTGAACAGCACAACAGAAGAGGAAGACAATTACGTGCATTGATCTCGGTTGCGCCAAAGCATGAAGTGATCAAGATGGCTAGGAAGCTGGACGATGAGCGGGCAAGAGGCAAGATAAGAGGCCCACTACATGGTATCCCGATAGTGTTGAAAGATAACATCATGACCGATGAGAAGCTAGGCATGGATACCACAGTTGGTATGTGGATAGATAACTTGGATCCAGGCCAGTGACTTACTGCTGTGCAGGATCGTACGCTTTCGTAGGATGCATACCCAAGAAAAGCGCAACGATTGTCGAACGATTGGTCAAACGCGGCATGATCATCATCGGAAAATCGAACCTGACTGAATTCTGCGGTCTCAAGAACCCTTCTATGCCTCCTGGGTGGTCAGCAGTCGGCGGACAGTGTCAGTCACCGTATGTCTCAAGACACATCGCGAAAAGGAAGCTACACTGGGAGCTTTCCGCACCGGGAGGATCATCAACTGGATCCGCAGTCGCAGTAGCCTCAGGTTTCAGCACCCTTGCGATCGGAACAGACACCATCGGATCGTT